ATGTGTGTTTGCCTGAGTGTATGTTTATGTGTGTTTGCCTGAGTGTATGTTTATGTGTGTTTGCCTGAATGTATGTGTGGTACACCATGTGCATGCAGGAGCCCACTGAAGTCAGAAGAAGTAAGCATTAACTAGATTCCCTGGAACTGGAGTTATGGACAGTTGTGAGCTGTCCTGTGAATGCTGGGAACCAAACCCAGGTCCTCTGAAAGAGCAGTAAGCGCGTCTGATCTCTCCAGCCCTGCATCAGTGTCTTGGTTGTAAACAAACAGAAGTGGTGCAGTCTGAATACTAAGGGAAGAGTGGCCTCACATTCTCTTTCTTCCTCCAGGGTTTGGACTCCCCTCTTGCATCAGACATCTATCCCCATAATCCTCTGAGTGTCGTCTCAGGACCTGGGCTACCCTCATGGCACAATGGCCAACCCTCAGGAGCCCCTGAGCTGCGCCTACTCATCACACTTACCCTTGACTGAGAACAAAACCTCTAGTGAACACCATGAACTTGCAGCTATGGGACACCACCCTTCACCCAAGCTCCCCGAGGACCCCCAGGAGAAGGCTATGCAGCCCGAGCTGCTGGAGATCACGGGCAGCCCCATCTCTACAGCAGTGCTGACCAGTGTAAGTGAGGATTCCAGAGGCCAGTTCGAGAACAGCGTTCTTCAGCTAAGGGAGCAGGATGAATCAGAGATGACAGTGTCCCCAGGGAACAGCAGCACGGCGGATGGAGAGAACACTAACGGGACTGAAGACATCAAGATCCAGTTCAGCCGGTCAGGCAGCGGAGGCGGTGGGTTTCTCGAAGGACTGTTTGGGTGCCTCAGGCCCGTGTGGAACATCATCGGGAAGGCGTATTCCACGGATTACAAACTGCAGCAGCAAGGTAAGTTAGAGCACGCGTGTACTGGGAAGGGTCTTCTTGGACCACACTTCCTCCACCGCTCCCAGTAACTGGGTAATCCTTAAGGAGTGGACCAACAGTGAAGTCAGGTGACCACCCCATTTAAGTGTCCTGCAGCCTTTCCAAGTAGAATAAAGTCATACTTGGGGGTTCCCTTTTACTTGAAGCCAAAATAAACTGTCGTCAACCAGCCTAATGGTGTATAGAGTACACATGTAGAAAGAAGCAATAGAGCTCCCATTTATTTGATCTCATTTAAGGTTTCTATTTTTTTTTTGAGCCAAATTTTTTATTTATTCATTTCTTGCACTTGAAGTACTCTTCGATGACGTCCTTGGCCTGGGATTCCCTGCCGTAGTCCTTAACCACTGCACAGCTGCAACCAGCTACTTTCCGTGGCGTTCCCTCTCGATCAGTTTTACAGGGGCCTACCCATTCCCCGAGTTTCTTGTTGTCGTCAACCTTACTTAGGTTGATTTGGTGCTCAGCACAAAGTGCCTCCACCAACTTGACATACATAGGCTCATCACAGTTGGATGCAAGCACACAGAGGTGGGCTTGGCGCTTGTCAAAGGCTTCGGCAGCTTCGCGGATGCCACATGCGAGGCCATCGTGGATGAGGGCGGTCTTCAGCACCTCTTGAAGAGCAGTGTTGATGTCCATTACACCTCCAGCCGCAATGCCTTCCTTGGCCATGGCTGAGGATTATGGGTGAGGCCGAATCTTGAACACACCCGTGGCTCCGCCTCCGCGCAACTCAGCAGTGGCAGGGGAAAAAAGCTAAGGTTTCTATTTTTACAGTCTTTGAAGACATCTAGTACTTTAACATAGCTGTATAGATATATAACATGAATAACTGACGCCATGAGGATGTTTAGGTATATTTTACTGATAATTTATAGGATCAAAACGTCTGATGGCTAAAGTCAGGTGCAGTAGCATGTACTGAATAGTCCAACTATTCAGAGGCTGAAGCAGGAGGATTACTTGAACTCAGGCCAATTCTACACAACATAATGAGACTGCCACCTATAAAAACAAAAACAACAAAAAAATTCAAATTTAAACAAGTCTGATGGTCACTAGACTGATTCAAACTAGCACCACGCTATCCCTTGAGATTACAGGACTGCCCTAGATTGTAATAAAAAAAAATCTTGTCTAGAGTAAGGGCACAGAAGCCTCACACTTTGAGGAGAGAGACTAACCACGTCTGAGAAGCTTATAATCTCTCATTTTAAAATACTGAGTCTTAAATTCTCATCATTGTGCAACATATGTTCCTACACTCGAGGTAAAGAAATATATATGCTGTGATGTTGTAAATAATTTACTGTCTGAAAGAGAATGACTCACACACCACCAAAATTTAAATAGCCTATCATCCTTATCTTAGGAATAATAATCATTAATATTTTAAGACTGTATCAGGCTGGACATGGTGATGCATGTTTAATCCTTGCATTTACAAGACCAGTGAAAGAGAATCATGAGTTCAAGACTAGCCTGGTCTACATAGTGAGTTCTAGATCAGCTTGAGTATGTAATGAGACACTATCTCAAAAACAATAGAAATAAATGTCTCTGCCTCACAACTTGAGGTCTACAGTTAGGGTGCAGAATCCACCCTGGGGGACCAGGACCTGGGCAACTGGTACCCACTTCTCCCTCCGCTGTACCTGCTTCTAAGGGTGTGTGTGTGTGTGTGTGTGTGTGTGTGTGTGTGTGTGTGTGTGTGTCTTGTGCGCGCAAGACAGCAGTTGGTGGCTCATGCTAGTAATTCCAGATTCTTGGGAGCCTGATGCAGGAAGATCTCAATTCAGTCTTCCTGGCCTATGATAGTGATTTCAAGATTAGCATAAGCAGCTTACTAAGACCCTATCTGGGAAAACACAAGGACCTGGGAATTCGGCTAAGTGCTAGAGTCCCCTATTGGCATGCTCAAGGTGTGGAGACCTCCAGCCCTTAAAAAATAGGTATATGCTTACTTCATATTGTGAAGGTTTTTCCATTTCTGAAATGTAACTCTTCAGCATCTTTTATTTGTTTTCTGATTTGAGACAGCGCTGGGAATTGAACCCTGTGCCCTGCATATGCCAGACAAAGGCTCTAGCACTGAGATATACCCCAGACCCCTTCAATGAGTACAATTTTAATGGCTGGATAATATATAATTATTAAATGTGCTAATGTTTTTAAGCAATTCCTTTGGCTTTAAACTTCTTTGTACTTTTAGTGATTATAAACTCCATTACAGTGAATGTGGTCTGTTTCCTAATTTTTTATTTTATTACATTTTTATTTGTTTGTTTTATATGAGTGTATGCGTGTGTACCTAGGGGATAGAGCAAGTGGAGGCCAGAAGGCAATATCAGGGAGGGGTGTGTGTGTGTGTGTGTCCTGCTAAGGTTCAAATCTAAAGCTCCACATACAATAGACTGTGCTCTAAAGGGCTGGGCTACACCCCAGCCCTTTGTTTATTTATTTGTAATTTTTGTTTTGTTTTTTGGGACAAGGTCTTGCTTTGCAGCCCTGGCTGTCCTTGAACTCACTATGTAGCCCAGGCTGGCATCTAACTCTCAACAGCCCTTCTGCCTCAGCCACCAGAGTGCTGGATTAATGGATATGTATCACCATGCCTAGCCTTAATTTGTTTTAGAAGCACTTCTTTTTCTCTGCCTCTCAGAGAACCAACTAAAATCTGTTTCCATAATAAGACACATTTGGTTCTTGGAGCCTCTGCTTGTCCTTCTCAGACTAAGTTGTCTCCTAACTTGGAGATCTGTATAGAAATGCATCACTGAACTTTAGAGTCTTAGACAAATTCTTATCCATGCCTGTCTAAAGAAGCCCTTTAATTGTCTGACTTTTATTGTTCTACAAGTTTGCATTTAACTTAGCTTCCAGTTGATCATGTGACTTTCAGAAAAGCTCATTTTGGAAGTAATTAAGACCTAGGTACAGTCTGTCAGGGTTATAGTATACCCTACTGAGGGCTCATGCTCAGTAAAAGGTAAACACTGAGAAGTGTTTGCACAGCCAAGTTGTTGGGAGGATACCTTTGACAATGTATTCAGAGAGGATTCATTGAGCATCTATCCACACAAGACATTCAGAGGAATGAAAAGACACCCGCAGTGGGGTAAGGATAGAGTGTGGAGACAGAAGAAGATGACTGGATAGGAGGCTTAACCTGGGGAGAAGAGGGTGCGGAGAGTCCGGGTTCCTAGAGGAGTCTCTAAGAGCTCAGACCTACTTGAATTGAAGCAGTTAAAGATGCGTATTTATCAACATAGAAGAACCAAGGCTCAAAGGAAGGTCACATCTTTTGGTGGGAATTAGAGGAGAGGGTCACTTCAAACGGGGTAAAGTTGGAACTTTCAGAATGGCCCATCGAATGGTCTCTGCAAGTTCTGAGCTTGTTTCCCGTTCCCACGCCTAGATACCTGGGAAGTGCCGTTCGAGGAGATCTCAGAGCTGCAGTGGCTGGGCAGTGGGGCCCAGGGAGCTGTCTTCCTGGGAAAATTCCGGGCAGAGGAGGTGGCCATCAAGAAAGTAAGAGAACAAAATGAGACGGACATCAAGCACCTGAGGAAGCTGAAGCACCCCAACATCATCGCCTTCAAGTAGGTCAACAGCGGCTTTGTCGGGCTGTCTGCACGGGTGTTTGTTGTCGGTGGGCGTTGTCTGGGGCTGGTTTTAGACGGCTTTTGTTTTGATTTTTAGAGAAATAGAGTTATTTTCTTCCTCCATTGTATACACGTAAGTTCCTGCTTTGGAAGATATTTCAAAAGCCCTGGATCAGCTTAGCGCAGTGCTAGGGACTGGTAGGGTGCTGAAGTTTCTCAAACCTGAGTTGTGCCTCCAGGAGCTCACCTTGCTGGGGAATGAACTGTTTATACAGTATGCACAGGGCAGGGAGGGATTAGGGAAGTCCTGTCACACGCCCTAGAGCAGCCTTCTGGATAGAATGGCGAAGGTCACTCCACGGTAATCCAAAACAACATCCTGCAACTCAGTTAAGGCAGTTATGGCGTCGGAAGTGGCATAGCCGGTCCCTGTATGACATATATTTATGAGTTGCCATTAACATCCTTCTTAAATAGTAATGTATGAAGACATGCACCTCTATACAGCAGCCTCGGGCTTTGCTTCATACCTTTCCTGTGCTAACATGACTCTCTAAGTCCAATCATAGAGTATATTCATTTCACAAAGCAGTTGTGTTTAATATGTGTGTGAAACCAGGGTTTCTTAAACTCCTCTGTTCACAGCCCTTTTTTGTCCATATAAGCCAAGCATTTACTAAAATCGAATCATAGAAAAATTCATTTGAACAGTTCTCCAGTTTACGTAATATGGCTTTACCATCTATTAACCACTAAGGAACTTCCCAGGCTAATCAGATGAATATGTTGGTCTGTTTCTACATAAGGAGTCAATGCTTGGCTGAATAATGTTGCAGGGTGTAGTATATCTCCAGTGTTTTTCAGAGTTACCTGATACTTTGATTTCCTAGCTGTCCATGCTGAGAACACCACTGACACAAATCCATAGTACAAAATGGCAGAAGTGTGTTCAGGGCTGTTCCCAAAATCATTGGAGATCTTTCCATAATCCCAAAATAAAACTAACTTAATCCAACCGGGCAGTGGTGGTGCACGCCTTTAATCCCAGCACTCGGGAGGCAGAGGCAGGTGGATCTCTGTGAGTTCGAGACCAGCCTGGTCTACAAGAGCCTGCCAGAGCAGGCTCCAAAGCCACAGAGAAACCCTGTCTTGAGAGAAAAAAAAAAAACCTAACTTAATCCACTGTACATTTGATTTTGGATTAATTTTACTCATCAGACATTCAGAAACCTGTTACCATTCCCAGATGTGTCTAACCCCTACATTTAGGTATGCATCCCCACATGGGGTTACAGTCCACAGTTTAAGAAGAGACCAGTCGAAGGTAAACTTGTGGGAATCACTGGAGCTGGAAGGCGACTGTGCTCACCACTGTACCACCAAAGTGCTGAGCTCAGCTGTGGTTACCGCTGCCTGAGCCCCTCCCTTAGCTGTCTTTATGCCATCTGTCCCATTCGCCTGGACAAGTGGAAGGAACTGACTTTTAAAAGGGAAGAATGAGGAACAGGAATTGTGGCCCAAGTGGGACAAAAGCTGGGCAATGACTATTGGCCTGTTTGACTGTGTTTTAGATTCCTGGGAGAGAGTTTGGTATAACCAAGGAGGTTTCAGTAAACATGGAGGACTTAGAACTTCCTCCTCAACCTAGGGGCCACTTCCCCAGCTGCCCCGAGGGCTCTTCCTCTGAGAAACTACTATCATGAGGAAAGATGCCATGTGACCGATCAGTCTTAATTGGACTCATATCCCCAAAGAAAGCAACAGTTAATTCTTGGATAGTTTTGTGAGATGTGGTTTTGATTCCTTCATGAGAACCCTTACGGCAGGGACAGGAGGTGGGAAGAGGTGGCACCAGCTGGAGTGCAGAGGACAGCCACTGTCATAATTCTGTCATCAACTGCCCTAATAAAATTACTACCATGGCTGACAGTAATTTTTCCGGAGCCAATAAGTTTCAAGTTAACGGGAGTATAATTTCTGGCAGACAGACAAATGGAGACCACCTTGTCTCTTTCGTTTCCTTCACGGAAACGCTTGTGCCTTCTACACGTTGGCCTTTCCTTCATGGGAGAATGTGCCAAGAGCTTTGAAACTCGGATCCCTGAGACCGACTGTGGCGTGCCTTTGGGCTTTCTGGAATACAGTGGGCTATGTGTCACTGCTCAGCGAGCATCCCAAGAGTGCGCCTGGGTAGCAGGAGGTAGAAGCTATCCTGAGAGGAGACAGTGAGTTGCTGTCTTTTTCTTCCTGCCATTTTCTCCGTCTTGCCCCTCCAACCCATACCTACACCACATCTTCAGGTATTATTGGATTTGAGAAGCTGTTCTGGGACCCATTCCCTAAACTGAACACACTGGAATAATCTCTCCCTCTGCGTAGCTAACAGTAGTGAGCCTGACACTCTAGGGACATTGTACGGTGTCACGTCTGTAACTGTTGTGCTATTTGTTACTTTGGTCAGTGAATCACATTCAAGAGTATCCGGAAGGCATGGTTGGATTTTAGCACATTTTTCATGTTTGTGGATTCCTTTGAAATTAGTAAGAGCCACACACAAAAGGAAGGTATAGGAATACAACAGTCATTTTTCCTTCTTATCTTTTTAAGAAAACCCAACCTGACTGTTTCTAATAAAAGTCAATCCCAGGCAAAGAGATGGTAGCTATTAGAAGTGGTGCTAAAGCGGTTATCTCTGGCTGCCGGGAGCCTCGTCACAGCGGAGGGCTTCTAGTTCGTCACAGTGAGAAGAGCAGTTCACAAGATGTCTGTTAGACCATAGGACAGCTGAGTGGATGCTGGGTCCACCAGGCATGTTCATCCTTGTGTTCTTACATGTGTTAATTCCTCCCCATGTAGTTTCTATGTCATGAGGTGTTATCTGTTTGTAGTAACTGTTCACTGAACCTTCCAAAAAAAACCTTTTTTTTAAAAAAACATTTCCATTAAAAATCAAGAATTCTAGGCATCCCAGAAAATGATAAAAGAGTAATTGAAGCATCTTTGCGGCATTTAATAAGGAAAAAACCTATTGTTCTCCATCATACACAGATCCTAGCCTATGATGCACAGCCATGGATGTGAACATGGATGTGGGTCCAGCATCATCTGTAGGCAGGAGAACGGGAAAGGGTGCATTGGGTGATGAAGGACTGGATGCAGGAGATGGCTGCTGGAATTGTGAACAAGGAGATGGAGCTGATCGTTCTTCTAGTCCTAGCTCCATCATGGTGAAAGTGAAATGTGTGACATCATTGCATTTTGGGACAACAAGTGCTTTTTTCTGGGACTTGTTTCGGCTAGATGTTCATGGGTACATAAAAATACACTCAGAAGTGAATTTAGGATTCAGTGTGGTGTAACATGAGGGACCTGCTCATTGGGGTTTCTGTCCTGCCCAGTTCCCACAGCTGTTTGGTCCCAGAGAAAATCACACAGAAGTCTACATTAGGTTATAAACTGATTGGCGCATTAACTCAGGCTTCTTATTAGCTCTTATAACTCATATTAACCCATTATTCTTATCTATGTTAGCCATGTGGCTCAGTACCTTATTCAGTGGGGCAAGTCACATCCTGCTTCTTCCATGATCTGGGAAGGCCTGGGGAAAGAGCTTCCTTTTTCCCAGAATACTCCTGTTCTCATTTCCCCGCCTCTACTTCCTGTCTTGTTGTCCTGCCTATACTTCCTTCCTGGCTTTGGGCCAATCAGTGTTTATTTAAAAAATGATTGACAGAATACAGACAATTCTCCTGTACCAGTATGGAGTCCACAGCTCCAGAATATCTTTTCTAACTGTATGATGCTGGGTTTGATGACCTGCCTCAGGGCAGGTCAAGTGAAGACCAATGCACAGCCTGGTGCCAGCCATGTCAATGCCTTGGGGTGCATCCCAAGTCCCTCCACCACTTCCCACAGCCTGAGAGACAGGGTGTGCATGATGGAAGCCTGCTGAAGATTGTCTGTCTCATCCCTAGTGCTCTCATAAATTCTCTGGAGAGTATGAGGCAGTTGTCTACAGAACTATGAAGTAAAGTTCATATTACTCCCAGTTTAATGAATTAACAGTGCTAACATCGGAATCCCCAATATGATTGTTTATACAGACATTTAAATCATACTCTAATATGATGAGAGCAACGGCCTGGCCTTTGAAGCTAGACAAGCCTTGGGTCTGGGCACTGTCACTGATTGCGTGGGTTAGTTATGGTAAAATAAGTCACTTTCACCCCAAGTCTTCCCTATAGACACGGAAGAGGTGCAGTCTATCCCCTGAGGATTTCAGGCAGATGAAAGAAAACACAGAAATGTCCTTGAAAAAACAATAGCTTTTTCCCTCTTAGTATGCTCCTCCTCCCATTTCTCCTCCAGTGGAGTCGTGAGGCCTATGAACATTGATGTGACATTAAACACATCGAGACCTGGCTGGGAACCTCCCGGCCTGCTAGAAAAGAGATCTTTGACTCTTTTGGGCTTGACTAATCAGGAAAAGTTTGATGGAAAGTACAGGGATTAATAGTACTATCTCCTACATAGAAGGAGAATATGATATTATGCTGTCTTTATTCTAAATGTTTTTCACAGAACTACATGGAAAATAAAAATTTGACTCATTTGCTTACTTTTTCCTTCTCTCTGTCTTTTCTTTCTTTTTGTCCTCAGTCTAATTATTTTCAATTTGAATAATTGAAAAGTTAACAAACAATAATAAAAAATATAAAAACTTAGTTTTAATCCTTTCACATTACATATAAAATCTGTTTATATTTAAGAGGAAAATATTTTAACGATCAAAATCAACAGAGCTCCCAGCCTATCCAAGCCTCAGAAAAGACTGCTTTGTCCCAGAGTGGAACGATGTCACACGAGACCACCAGATTAGCACAGCCTGTTGCTATCTAGACTTAAGAATAAAACAGAAACTGCCATGTGCATTCTCGGAAAATTGGTGACCAGAATATGCTGTACTTATTTCAGAATCAAAACTATTATATTATCTATATGAATTTTGATCATTTGGGTAAGGCATGAGCCCATATTAAACACTCTGGAGATACAGATGTGTGTAGTAGCTATTAGCCTGTATTCATGTCAAGATACAGATGTGTGTATGTGTATCTGTTTTCATGTTGAGATACAGATGTGTGTATGTGTCTATTAGCCTGTTTTCATGTCAAGATACAGATGTGTGTATGTGTCCAATAGCCTGTTTTCATGTTGAGATACAGATGTGTGTATGTATATATTAGTCTGTATTCATGTGAGATGCAGATGTGTGTATGTATATATTAGTCTGTATTCATGTGAGATACAGATGTGTGTATGTGTCCATTAGCCTGTATTCATGTCCTTACTATATTTTCTTCAAAGGGGAGTTTGCACCCAGGCCCCGTGCTACTGCATCATCATGGAGTACTGTGCCCATGGACAACTTTACGAAGTCTTGCGAGCTGGCAGGAAGATCACGCCTCGTTTGCTCGTGGATTGGTCCACGGGAATTGCTAGTGGGATGAATTATCTCCATCTCCATAAAATCATACACCGTGACCTCAAGTCACCAAAGTGAGTTCTAGAGCCCATTGTCGGCTGTTCTGTTACTTGAAAATGAGTTCCTATCAAACAAAGCTGAGGCTCTCAGACTTGTAACTTGATTTTAGCCAGACAGTGGGTAGCTTCTCATCACCTATCTATATGGGGGATATGGACAGGTATGTAACTCAAGCCTTCCCTTCTGTGGCTTTTGGATTGTGCAACTGTGCAGCAAACTTCATTACTATCTGAAGCAGCCTCAAAAAGTTTTATCTTTCATCACCTCAAAAACTTAATGCCAGCCTCCCCCCATGTGAAAGTTTGGTTTGTTGTTTTCCTAGGTTTAAAAAAAATTAACTCCCTTTCAGAAGTGTTTAAAACACAACAGAATGAAAATGGCTGAATGAGACACGGAGGCAGGTTGGAAATACAGCTCAGCAGTGAAGCGCTTGTTCCCAGGCCCCAGGGCGGGGCGGGAGAGGGAGAGGCATGTTCACAGATGCGTGCGGAAGGTTCTCTACAGTTATCTGAGATGTGGTGCACAGCCAGCTCTCTGAGACAGAGGCCAGAGAGTCAGGAGACTAAAGCCAGTCTCCTCTCCAGAGCTGGGCTACGTGAGCCACCATCTCAAAAGGAAAGTCAGCAGCGACAGAAATGCAGTCCCGCTCACGGTGTGTAGCAGCTCTGCCCTTCATCCCGTCTTCTTGGATGCTGGCAAAAGCCACGAGCTAGACACAGTGGTATTGGTTTTCTTATTGTACATAAGGGAAACTGGTACTCAGCCCAGACTCCTGGGTCTTCGACTCAGACTTGATGGGTTTTAGGCAAACTTTAAGAAGATAGCAATAAATCTGGCTGGCTGTGTCGGGAGATTTCTCTGCCTACTTAAATCTATAGTCAGTATGACCCCACCTTCGTCCCAGAAAAGTTCCATTGTGTGTGTGTGTGTGTGTGTGTGTGTGTGTGTGTGTGCTGATTCTGTGTGTACAAGTATGCCAGCCTGTGTGTTTGTGTGTGTGTGTGTGCTGATTCTGTGTGTACAAGTGTGTGTACAAGTATGCCAGCCTGTGTGTTTGTGTGTGTGTGTGTGTGTGTGCTGATTCTGTGTGTACAAGTGTGTGTACGAGTATGCCAGCCTGTGTGTGT